GCCAGACTAGGTGAGACTCTGGCCTGTTATGAACAGGCTGGCTGTGGGCCCTGGGCATGCCCCTTATCCTTGCTGTGACCTCTTCTCGCTGGTAGGTGTGGCTTTGGGGCAGGCATGCCCCAGCCTGGGTGGGGCAGAAGAGCCATGTGGAATCTTGGGTGGGGGACCTAGGAGGAAGGCTGTGTCCAGAGCTGGGTGCTGAGGACAGTGATGTGTGGCCGTGCTCTCAGTCTGGACCATGCCCCAGAACCACTCTTGATACAGCTTTGGCTCCACTTGGACATGTTCACACCAATGCTCTCAGGGACAGGCATGCTGATGCAGTGAGGGCAGCAGGGGACATGCCCACGTATGCCTCTGAGGCCTGGCTGGGTGTTCTACCTCAGCGCCTAGCCCCTTGAGGGGTAGTGGCTGGAAATCAACTCAGCTCAACCTGCCACCTTGATGCATGTGCCCCAACCACTCAGCATCCCTCCAGACCCAGGAGCACTTGGCTGGGTACTCTACTCTCTGGGGCAGCCAGTGGCCGACCCTGCCCTGCAGTTCTCAGGGGCAACTAGGTGCTAAATTCAAAACATACCTCATTGAGCCATTCTACCAACATCCCAAGGCCCAGAGAACTGCCCGCCAGGCCCTTGCCATCCCAGGAGCCAGAGCTTCGCAGAGAGCAATGGGCAGCTGTGAATGGGCACGGGAACCAGGGCCGTCCACTGCTGGGGGAGACAGGGGATCTAAGGCCAGGCTAGGTTGTGGGTCAGCAGCCCCGGTGAGGGCTGGCGCTGTCCTTCTCTAGTGATGGCCTAGCTCTGGACTACTCATTTCACCACAGTCTGGCGTCCTCATCTGTAAAGTCGAGACAATAACAACACCATTCAGGGCTCACATGTGAACAAGGGGACGGATGATGGTAAGAGGAAACAGGAGCACCTCAGTGTCTCGTGAACACCAGGCTTCTAGAAGAGCACAGTGGTTAACAGTTGTCATGGTTTGAATTGTGTCCTCCAAAAAGATGTGTGGGAGTTCTGACCCCATACCTGTGGATATGATCTCATTCGGGAATAGGGTTTTCTTTGTTATGTTAATGAGGCCATATTGATGTAGGGTCTGTCCTAAACCTAAGAGCAGATTAGACACAGACCCAAGCAAGCACAAACAGGGGATGACAGAAGCACACGTGAGGAACTCCAAGGAACCCAGGAGCGACAGGGCCACAGAAGCTGAGACAAGGGCCCTCCCCCAGAGCTGAAAGAGAGCCCTTCCTTGGATCTGGCACCTTGAATTTGTACTTCCAGCCATGCTCCTGCCTGACTTCACGTCCTCCATCTTTGCGGTCATGATGGCATGCATGTTAGCAATGCCCACCTTGGCTCGTGCAGCGCTTGGCACGGTTTACAGACAGCTCGCATGTGGGCTTGTCTGACCCCGCAGAGCCCACTCAGGGTGAGGACAGTGCCCATGCACGTCCCTCCTCTGAGGATGCCCAGGGCAACTGCCTGACACTCCACCCCTCTCCCACTAGGACAACAGGGCCTGCCTGGCGGGGTCACTGCCAAGGTGCGAGGGCTCATCTGTCAGCAACCGGCGCGGGGCAGGCCCCAAGAATCAGGGCAGTGAGGAGACAGACAGAGAAGGGCCCAAGAGCAAGTGGTTGCCTGCAGCCTTGTCCAGGCCGTCCCCTTGCTCTTCCCAAGGAGTCCTAGTGGCGCAACAGTTAAGTACTCAGCTGCTAACCAAAAGGTTGGTGGTTCAAACCCACCCAGTAGCTCTGAGGGAGAAAGACCTGGCCATCTGCTCCCATAAAGACTATTATTGTTGTTAGGTGCTGTCGAATCAGGTCTGAATCATAGTGACCCTATGTACAACAGAACAAAATGCCGCTCGATTCTTACACCATCCTCACAATTGTTGCTATGCTTGAGCCCACTGTTGTAGACACTGGGTCAATCCATCTCTTTGAGGGTCTTCCACTCTTTCCCTGATTCTCTACCTTACCAAGTATGATGTCCTTCTCCAGGGAATGGTCCCTCTTGATAACATGTCCAAAATACGTGAGACAAAGTCTTGCCATCCTCGCTTCTAAGGAGCATTCTGGCTGTACTTCTTCTGAGACAGTTTGTTCGTTCTTCTGGCAGTCCATGGTATAGTCACTATTCTTCGCCAACACCATAATTAAAAGGCATGGCGCAATCCTACTCTGTCACGTGGGGTGGCAATGAGTCAGAACTGACTTGATGGCACCCAACAACAACAACGGGCTCTTCCCAGCTCTCGCGAGCAGACCCACTCTGGGCTCCCCTGGCTGGGAGGAGTAGAACAAGCAGGAAAAGGCACCATTAAGGGAAAATGGGAATGGAGGAAGACAACTGTTTAATTACACAGAGTTGTGAGGGGTATAATTTCTCTCAAATCAGAAAATAAATCTCCAGCTCTCTGTCCCTGAAGTACATAAAACATTAGCGCGTCTTTTATAGTTATAATCAAGACGCTCCTTTCTGCAGCCATGCTGGCCATATCCAATTAGCGGGGGTACGGCGCCGATCACCCAGCCCGAAACATCCCTCCCTGTGGTATCAACTGCATTTAAAGAGAAGCATGAACTGTGCTCATGCTGACTAATTAGCACAGCTTTGCTAATTAATAACAAAAAGTCAGACTGCCTTTGTCTTTGATCTGCAATTAGTTGAAGATGTTTAAACTTCTCTTTTCCTTCTTTTTTTCACCTGTCTTTTCCTCAAAAGTGACAGACTCTTAGTCTGAAAATCGTAAATTGGAGGCTGTCGGCTAGGAGAGATATTATGGGGATCAGAGTGGTGGCCCCATGTTGTGAGCAGAGGGTGAGAGACAGAGGCAGTGTCCCCTTGACCGTGGCCTCCTCTAAACAGAGCCCAGGGGGTCAAAGGCTCCCCAAGCCTTAGCTTCTCAGGGTGCAGAGCCCCCGTGCTCAGCCGCCACATGGACAGGGGTGGGCAGGGTGTGGGGACTGGGCCCAGGTCTGAGCCCATGCTGCTGCAGAGCCATGAAGGGGCCACGAGCCCTTCCTCTGTTGAGCGTGCCCCCACTGCAGAATGGAGACGGGTCTAGGTTAGGGTCCTCAGCAGCAAGGGAAGACACTGCCTTTCCTGTGTAATCCTGAGAGAGCACCAACGAATGGGGGGCTCTGCTCCACCCCGCAGGTGGACTGTGGCCCACCCCAGCCACCACCCTCCTGTGGCTTTCAGCCACCTCACCAAAGCTCAAGCCCAAGGCCCTGCCTGGTACCAAGACTGCAGCCCACAGACGTCAGTGACACACAGGACTTCTGTGACCACGGCCCCAGGTGTAGTGTGCTGGTCCACGTGCATAGTGGATCCTGGGGGGACACCTGTGATCACAGCCCCTGGCCATAGCTGAATATGTACCATGTCCCCATACTCTCCCCTCGAGTAACACAGCACCCCCCCCCACACTGTGTGTCCCCTCCTCGATCACATCGTGTCCCCCCACACCATGTGTGTCCCCTGGAGTAACACTGAGTCCCCCCGCTATGGGTGCACCCTGGAGTCACACCGCATCCCCTCTGCTGTGTGCATCCCCTGCAGTCACACCACATCCCCCCCAAGCCGTGCATGTATCCTAGAGTCACAATGTGTGTCCCCTGCCATGCATGTCCCCTAGAGTCACACCATGTCCCCCCTGCCATGCCATGTCCCCTGGAGTCACACTGCATCCCTTCCACCCCTGCTATGCGTGTCCCCACATACACCCCCACGCCGTGCTGGTTCTCTTTCATCTTTTTCAGGTGAGGAGTCTGAGGTCTGCTCAGGGTCACAAGGTCCCTGAAGCCGCATCAGGACTTGAACACAGAGCCCCCGGCCCCTGCACCCTCTGCCTGGCTTTCATCTGAGCTAGGACAGGGCTCCTGGAGAGCTGGCAGGAGACCTTTGACAACAGAGGCCACTACTGGAGGGAGAAGTGGCTCAGGCTGCCGTGTGCATGAGGCTCCTACCCCTGGCGCCTGGCCCTGCCACTTCCTGTTTTCCCATTAAATGGGAAAGAGAAGAGAGATATAAAATGAACAACGTGAAATAAACTGTAGATCGGACAATAACAGGCAGAGATTAAAGCCGTCTGAGGAGACAGCTACAGCTGGCTCCAAACCAGGCCTGGAGAAAACCAGCACTAGTGCCGCCTGTCTGTCTGCTGCAGAGGAGCAGGCTGTGGGGGAGTGTGCAGAGGGTCGCCTTGGGGAGGACAGGTCCCTGGAGCAGCCCGCTTGCCCCTGCCGATGCATCCCCTCCCCAGAGGCTGGGGCACAGAACCTCAGTTTATAGAGCTCTGCCTCGTCTGCCAGCTCACCGAGGCAGACAGACTGGCAGCCCTGCCTGGCCCCTGGCCCTGGCTCCCCTCCACCCACCTGCAGCCAACCTCACACCAGGGCCCATCCTGAACCACCAGTGATGAAAGCTCACCAGATACCAGAAAAGTCCCTGTATTGTTACAGACTTAAGGTCAGCATGGTTCACACACAAACATACAAGGCACACACACACACACACACACACAGTGTCGCACTGCCTCACGGCTTGCTTTTTCCCTCCATTTTGCAGAGTGTCACACACCACCTCTCCCCCACCATGATTCTCACCTGGCAAACCCCACCCTGGTGAAACCCAATTAACCGCCTTTTTTGGGCCCCCAGGGAAGCCCCCAAGTGCTAGGTAGAAACACCACCACTCTCACTTCAGGTCTCAACCACAGGTCTCAGGAGGACAGAGCGCCACTTTCCATAGGTAGAGCCAGGCACCCGTTTCCCACAGGTGGAGCCTGAGACCCTGTTTCCCACAGAGGGAGCCAGGCTTCCATTTCTGACCGCAGGGCCAGGCCTTGTGATGCAGGAGCCGCACACTCGCACCTGCTGACGTGCAGAGTCTCTGCTGGGGCTGGGGCACGGATTGAAGGCCCTAAACCATGGCCCCCTTTGTTCACAGAGGCAGCACAAGAGCCCCTGGCCAAGAACTCACCATGTCCGCTCTCTGCTTCTGGTCTCCCAGATCCTCCAGGGCCTGTGACAGCTGAGCCTGCAAGACAGAGATAGCAGGTTAGGGGCTGCTGGTGAGGAACAGCCTCTCCCACCATCCCCTGCTGCGCTCACCCCCACTGCCTGATGGGAGTAGCTGGGGGAAACGTGGGCCACATACACAGGTGGCCCCCACGTAAGGTGCGAGCACTCACACGTTTGGAGAAGGTATCTGAATGTGGAGCTAGGGAACACAGCAGAATGCCAAGTCCACAACCCGCCACTGCAAAGAGACTGTGGGATGATGGGATGGAGAAAGGCAGGGTGGGTCGGTGGGTGGACAGACAGACGGACAGACAGATGGACGGACAGACAGACACTCGTTGCTGTTGAGTCGATTCCGACTCATAGCGACCCTATAGGTAGGTAGGTAGATATGGATGAAGGGATGGATGGACAGACAGACAGATGGATGGGTGGATGGATAGATACCCACTGCCATCAAGTCGATTCCGACTCATAGCGACCCTATAGGACAGAGTAGAAATGTCGCATAGGGTTTCCAAGGAGTGGCTGGTGGACTGGAACTGTTGACCTTTTGGTTAGAAGCTGAGCTCTTAACCACTGCACCACTAGGGAGGCAGGGAGGGAGGGAAGGAGAGAGGGATGGAGGATGGAGGGATGGATGGATGGAGGGATGGAGGGATGGGCGGATGGGCGGATGGGTGGATGGATGGATGGATGGATGGATGAATGGATGGATGGATGGATGGATGGATGGAGAGATGGATAGACAGATACACAGGTACGTAGATAGATAAAATAGGTAGATAAATAACGACAGAGACAGAGGTAGAGATACATAGGACAGAATTTCCGGTATCCCTGGTCAGATGCAGGAGAGCTGCCTGCCTTCTCCTGACAGGCTCGTGTTCTGGAAAAAGTCACTATCTAGGAAAAGGCCTTACAACTCCACCACCACCACCACGACCACCACCAAACAGGACTCCAGTATGCAGGCAGAGAGTGATTCTCCCCTTCCAATGACCCACCCACAGGCACCTGCAAACCGCTGGGACTCGAGAGGCACGGGGAGCTCAGAACATCCCCGCTGATGACAGTTGAGCAAGGCTCAAGGACAGCATCCTCACCGACCCTGGGCCATCGTGCTCAGAGCCCCGCTAGAGGTGCCTCCTGGCAACCATGGCTCTGCCAGTCCAGAGAGTGTTTCATCTTGAAGAGGCATGGCAGGAGGACAAGGCTTGGGCCTGGAGAGGCTACAGGGCATGGGACGAGCCCCAGACCCAACCCAGAATAGGCATATGTATACCTTAAGCAGATGCCAACCTGGCCTGGGCCCTAATTGTCACATATCCCCCTCCACCCCCCCACCCCCCACCTCTGAGCTTCCAGTCACCAGGCGGTCCTCACAGGCTTTGCAACGCCCTCAGACCAAGACATACTAAATAAGAGAAGAGATCCCGCGCTTTCCCATAAACCACCACAAATGGACCAAAGCCAGGGACGTTAGGAATCAAGGATTATGCTTAAAATAACTGAATTCTGTGCACTTGAGGACACAAAACAAGCACCTGAGGGGCTCCTCTGTATATCAGACCCCAGGTCCCTACATGGTCTCCAAGGGCCACTGAGCCCAGCCCCTGTTGCACTCTGTGTCCTTCCTCGTCTCTTATCTATAACATAGTCACAGTGGGTTTCTGGTTGGTCCTCGAGTGAGCTCCCTCCCTGGGGCCTTTGCACATGCTGTTCCTTCCTTCTCCCAAACCTTCCATGATGTGCCCTGAACTACTTGGGTCTCCACTCAGACACCATCCCTCAGAGGGGCTTGGCTGACCATCCCGTTTGAATCACCGCCCCCCCCCCGCCAACTACCACCTTGCTCTTGTCTCAACTACACCCTGACCCTAAACAAATGTCCTCCCATCTGTCCCTTATCTGTTAATTGTTCATTCGGCCCACCCACTGAGACTCAAGTGCCAGGAGAGCAGGGTGCACACAATTTCCATCAGTGTGATACATTTGTTACAATGCATGAACCAATACTGCTACATTAGTACTAACTCAGGTCTATAGTTATATTAACATCTGCCCTGTGCCCCAGAGAACAGAACACAGCCTGGAGGAGCACTCAGTAAATCAGTGCTGGTAACTGCGTGGATGAATTTCCCACGTCCAACTGAGGGGTCCAAGGGATATGACATGGGCCTTTGCTGCCTAGGCCCCATATCAGGTGACAGGGCCTCATGGGGCCCCTCATGCACTTTGGTGCCGGTGCACAGGGTATAAGGAGGACAACAGTATGGCTCCACATGTTGGTCGAGTCCACACCTGACTCCCACATGTCTCTGCTCCCACACACACGTTCTTGGTGTCCTACCCCTTGGTGTCCATGTCTGTGAAACATGGTAACATGGATCCATGGGACAATTAAGGTGACAGATGTAAATGTGCTATTAAGCAGCAACACGAACGGGGTTTCTTCAGTTTGTTGGTGATAGTGACAAGCCACCACCATCACCAGTTGCTGTCGACTCCTGCTCTGGCGAGCCCGTGTGTGTCCGGGTAGGAAGAACTGCGCTCCCTGGGGCTTTCAATAGTCTTAATAATAATAACAACGTTAACAAAATAATTCCTACTCTCACAAGGACCATCATAGCTTTTCCTCAATGGGCCCAGGGCCAGCCAGCCCAGCTGCCTCACCCCACAACCCCAGCAGGCCCCAGTCCCAAAGGCACGTGCCTGAATCTGGATCCGAGTACCACCCACCCTGGAGAGGACAAAGCCAAACAAAGTCACCATCACCACCATCACCACCTGCTCAGCTATTGTCACCACCTGCTCAGCTGTTGGGTGACAGGAATGAGTCAGTGCCAGCATGAACGATACACTCTTTAAAAACAAGTAACAGACTTGATTTTTTATTACAGTTCCAGATTTACAAAATAATCCAGCAGACAGTACACAGAAAGCCATACACCCACTCCCCTGCCCCACCCCACCCCTACAGTTTCCCTTACCAGCATCTTGCACTGGTGTGATACACTTGTTATAAAGAATATACAATGTTGATACATTATTACTAACTCAAGTCCATAGTTACATTAACGTTTACCCTGTGTTGTGCAGCCCTATGGATTTGACAAATGTGTAATGGCACATGTCCACCACTACAATATCCTACAAAATAGCTTCACTGTCCTAAAAATGCCCTGGGCTCCATCTATTCACCCCTTCCCCATTCCCTTAAACCCCTGGAAACCAATGTTCTTTTCATTATCTCTATAGTTTTGCCTTTTCCAGAATGTCATATAGTTGGAATCATACAGTATGTAGCCTTTTCAGACTGGTTTCTCTCACTTAGCAATGTGCATTTAAGGTTCCTCCATGTCTTTTCGTGACTTGGTAGACCATTTCTTTTGATTGCTGAATAATACTGCATTGTATGGATGGACCACAGTGTGTTTATCCATTCACCCACTGAAAGATATCTAGATTGTTCCTAGTTTTTAGCCATTGTGAATATAGCTGCTATGAATTCCCATGTGCAGGTTTCTTTGTGGACATGCATGGAGAAGAGTGTGCCCCAGGCACTCTGGGTGGATGCCACAACCCAACACACCACCCCTTCATCTTCATCCTTCCCACATTAGCGGAGCAGCAGCAAGGCCACAGGCGCAATGCACACATTCTCCCAAACTAACTGACCCACTGGCAACCCTGTGAGGTGGATGGTGTCTGGGCAGTTCACAGATGTGCTCCGGGGAGTAAGGAGACTGGCCCACAGTGCCTGTTTGTACACGGCAGAGCTGAAGGTGTCTGCTCAGGACCCAGGCAAGCACTGAACCATCATTCCCCTCCATCCCAACTCGAGGTTGGAGGAGCAGCCAGAAGAGCAAGCTCAGAGATCGCAGTGACCACAGGGGTCAGTCCAGGGCCTCAGGGAGAACAAGCCAGGCCCTGGTGGTCCAGCCCCATGGTGGCTGCTTCTCAGGCCACATGGCCGGGACAACACTGCAGAGTTCTAGAACTTTAAACAAGGCCTCCATAAGGACACAATACAGCAATTCGGCCCCAAAGATGGGTTTATTTACAACTGGCTGGTGGACTTTTGATGATTGGGTGGATGCTGATCTCAGGTATTCGGGTGTCCCTATCCCCAGCCCCGCTCTGCTCAGCAGCATCACTCAACAATGTGAGAGAGGTGCAGAAAGCAGCCGCTTGGACTGCACACAACTCAAGGCTAGGAGGCATCACAGACAGGATGGAGGCCAGTGAGACTGAGAGCATGAAAGCCAGGCTAGCAGACAAAGGCTCAGCTCCAGAGAGGCAAACACGGCCTTGGCAGCACATGTTTGCAGCATTTGCCTAAGGGCGACTTGACTTTAAGCCAGTCTAGGACCAACGCAAGCCTGGAAAGGGGCTACGAAACCGCCTGCATCCCGCCAAGAGCATCGGGGGCCTGGCTCATCACGGGCAAGGCTGGGTCGTCTGACATTGTGCTGGGATTCTGGGGCTCATGAGGGGTAGTACCAAGTTCCCCTCAGTTCAGTGAGGCGGACACTGACAGCTAAGTGGTCCCTAAGAGATGCTGGGATAGGAGAGGTATCCACCAAGGAGCCAACTCAGGAGGAAAGACGACTTCCGGAGAGCATAGTAGCTGCCCTGACATGTTGAAGGGCTGGACACCCAAGAGGAGCCGCGTTTATCCCATGACAAAGGAGCGCAGGGGCTGAGGTGCTCCTTCTCCATGGGGGTGGGGCACAGACGGCTCACTCTGGGGCCGTCACCAAGCCGTGTGCCCGTCGTCTGTGTGTTTCTGTGTATGAATGTTAGACATTAATAACAAAGGTACGTTTAAAAATGTAGAATCCAGCTCTCTGGAGAGAAAATTAGGGAGAAGACAGCAGTTCTGTCTCAATGAAAGGAAGAAGTTTTTAACAGGAAAAGGTGTACTGTCATTGAACATGATAACACTTCTCAGCTTCCCTGACAGGAAGCAGTATGGGACATCAAAAAAAGGGCCTCCGTGTTTGTGATTCT